ACAAAACTTTCAAATATATATCTGACAGGAGAAAGACGATCAGATGTGTCTCGAGTATATCGATCATCAAATCTAAGAAACTGAAGTATATATTTAAATCGTTGAAGAGACATGGTTGCTCTGTATATTGGTCGACTTTGACTGATATCCCATAATTCGTTCAATAAATCATGATTACTATGATTCAGACCGCTTTGTATTAACAATGCAATAAAAGATTCTAATTCAATTCGATCAATTGATTTCCACTGACGATTTTTATGTGTTTTGATTCCGGAATAGTCAGGTATTGTTTTTAATTGATCAAAATATCGTTCAGCATATCGATTTGTATGAAGGACAATTACATCAAGAATTTCATTTGTAATGAAAAGCTTGAAACAATCAAGAATAGTATGAACTTTAGCAATACATCCTGCTTTCTTTTTCATTATATTAGCAGCACCTATTCGACCTTGTACTGGATTTGGATCAATAGACCATACAATTTCATTCTTTTCTAACGTTGATGGTTGAGATACTAGAGAATTGTTCTGATCAACATCAGAATCTGATGAATCGTATTGATTAGATATGTGTTCGTCGGTGGATGTGTCGTCTGAATCTGGAACAACAGCTTCATAATCACTATCATCTGAATCCGATTCTAAATCTTCATTGATAGGATCATCAATTTCATTATCATCTGTTAGTAAAATTTCTCCAATTCGTTTTAAATTGGATTTTAAAATTGGATTCATACTATGCAAACACAAAAATGTAAAGATGAATTTTATCTTAGCATCTTACATTACAAAATCAAGATAAATCTTCACAGAAAATCAAATATTTCACTAGCAATCAATCAAATGAGATCTTCGTCGACAAAATGATAGATTTCACGCTCTTCTTACTGAATGTGAGTCATTATTATAACTAGCGAAGATGAAAACCAATCGAAACCAATCGTTAGAAAGCAAATAACACGATGACAGAATAGATGGCAGCAGTATCATCATATAAAATAAGGTTATAACACCATAGTTGTTATGGGGTCCACTAGGACCCATAGCTGCATTTTTTCTCTGTTAGACCTAGTCCTGATTTCTAATATGGGTAGTGTGCACCATCAAAAGACCGGAGATTAGATGTAAGAACCAATAAGAAACAGAAACTATTAAGAGAGAATTAAGTAAAAAGCTGTGAAATGGGTCCGCTTGGACCCCACAACATCAACGGAGGGTTATGTCAATGTGTTTATCTCAAAATTCAGTTTTTTGATGAAAATCGACTTTTTGGAGAGGGTTGGGAGGGGGGGGGCGATGCCTTCAAAAGTTTCATTTGCTACAATTAAAATGTGTTTTAATTTGACTTGATTATTATTATAAAACAATAGTTTAAATCGTACATTTCTATCACTTAATAAAATATATTGTATTCGCAGATGTAGCTACTTGATTTAAGTTTCTCTCCTTCGGCCAAATATATGAATAAAAATCAAAGATTTAAATAGCGATAATATTATTGTGCAAATCAAGACAGTATCTGATTTTATGAATATATGAGTGCGCCCTAGAGACCTGCGAGGCAGTACCAAATCCAGAATGTCCTGTCATGCGAGATAATCCGGAGTTGTCTCGAAAACTTTTCAGACCGGTCATTCGGGATCGAGACAATAAAAAGGTTTGTCCCGCAGATCTCCAGTGCGCATCTCTGAACATTATTTCTTGATAAAAAATAGAACTAAACCATTATTATGTATATGTTTTGATGAAGTCAGTGTGTCAGTGCACCACTAAACACTGATTTTCGTGTTGTCAGTGCTGATAGTGCACGGTTTACTGAAATTGCGCATCCTTAAAATCTTTTAGTCAAATTCTTAATTTTATAAGAAATCAATGTGTTATCCGGGTTTAATTTTTTGGGTGAGCGAATCAAAATTTCGCGTAGACAGCGCCCATCGGATTTATCGAGTAGTTAACGAAATGCTGTATATTTTCGGGTGACCGAATCTCAAGGGTGAGTGTTAGTCTTCTCTCTTTGCACATCAATACCTATATCCACACTCATACCCTTAAAATGCACATATGTTACTGAGCAAATTAGTCGATCAGCTCTTGAAGTTCAATGATAAAGAAGTCTGATTAGAAATGAATGCACAATAGTTTAGAAAAAACATCATAAAATCAAGTAGATAAATAACAAGATATTATGATTAACTACATCAAAAACAGTCGTTGAAATTTTCTTTTGTATAATAGATATTTTTCGCAAATAGATTTTTGGTCGTTTTTGGATTTGTATCATACTAACAATATCAATGTCGAATCATCACGAAAAGATCTTTTCGAAGATTATACTTTAACTTCTCAAAATAGCTACATAAAAATAGAAGTTGAGTCTGTCTGTTCCTCTTAGACTGCAAACTTCTGCCTCAACCATGCTTTTCGATCAGACAAGTTGTGAAGGATCAATCCACACCGACAACCTGCAAAGCTATTTTCTTCTTTGCCAAAATCTAAAGAACTTTTAGTAAAACGTTCAGATTCTCATAGGAAACGTGGATAAAAATCTGACTTTTGAGTTTTTATCACTATTTATCTGGTAGAATGCATGATGAAAACACTCTTTATCGTTCAAATCTTATAGCACGCCCATAGTTTAAGTATTTTTTGTTTGGTATTCATCAAAAGATCATAGAAAGACAGTTTATAGCAAAACTTTGGGCTTTCTGCTAATTCAAGTCCTGTTTCCATTTTCAAAAACAATGAGGAAATATGGGTGGCGCTACCTATGACGACAAAGTATGAATACTTACTTATACGTTTGATACTAGTGTTTGCTAGTCCCGACACAATAATTGAAAATGCACCTGTCTGATATCGATAATATGTTGTCACAACCAAGATGTATTTAGTATTGACTAGAAGATTGACTTTGAGTCGAAAACGTCCAAATGAGCATCCCATATAATCATTTGATATTAAATTTACAGATCGATTGAATGGATCGAAACTGTTGTGGTAGATATATCCGTATGTATCAATACTACTGTTACTTGCAATCGTATAGGATCCATCAGTGACTACGTCGATTTGTATAGTTTCATAGTAATAACCTGATTTGCCATTAGAAGTTCGATCATATCTTTGATTATTCACTGTTAGTTCTGATGAATACACCGTTTGGACAACTGATGAAGTATCTAGTCAGAAAAAGACAAATCAATCAGTATTCTATTCATACTATATATGTAGATGAATTTAAAGACTTTTTTAACGTCGTTTTTCTTTCAAATACATATCTACAGAATCAATATTCGATGACAAAGGTCTATCTAATAAGTTCAGCGAGAAAACGTTAGAAGGTAATCATTTTGACAGAGAAAGTCGATGATACTGTTTCGATTTTGTTTGTTTCCAGATAATCTATGGACATCCTAATATTAGGGTTTCTCACGAAACAAATAAATAAAGAAAATGCTGAAATTACGATTCTGTATTGAAGTTTAATGAATAAACTTCAACAAAAGATATTATCGATGATTGTGCTATCAAAATTCCATTTCTTGAGAAGATCTGTACCACTTAATCAAATTTTTATCAATAAATATTTTCCTTGATAATCAAATATTACATTCAACCAATCGATAATTTAAATTTACAAGAAATAGTTTCTTTCAAACTTCAAGAAATTTCCATTGCTCTCACTGACAACTTATCTTCGTCTTGTGTAATCAATGTTGAGACTTAAAATTAGTCCTGGATACTCTAAAAGGATGAACGTGGTATCGAATCTGAAAAAACTTTTACAAACTTCTAGTGAAATCAAAAGTTCTTTCAGATATTTTGAGATTTAACAAAAACTCAAAAGATTTTTTATTTTGTTCGAATAAACAAAACAAACTTTGAATTTATGAAAATTTCTAGACTTTTCTAAGTATCATTTATTTTTAATGTACTGACACTATATTGTGAACAATGGCCTTTACAAACATTGATCTCCAATTGTGTTGATAATGAGTTTTTAAAGCTCTCAAGGATGAGTTAGTGTGGATGTTATTAGATTACTCCACCGACACCCTCACCCACACCGTTCTTTCTCTTGATAAATATTCTGCATTTTGGATATTCACTAACTTACGAATCTGTATGACGATTTGTTATAAAACAAATAAATAAAACGAGTTTTTTGTATGAAAATATCGAATTAAAATGTATCAACAACGTTCAACATGTTTTATTTTGTAGAATTTGGAGAGAAAATAAGGTAAGATACATATATGTAAACAAATGATGTATTTTAATCATAAATTTATACCATCGCAATGTTTTTCCAAGATTTTCAAGATATTATGGAAACATCGTCTTAACGTATTGTTTTTTGTTAGAATATCACTCGTAAAGCATTGTAATGAAATTAAAGATATTTCAAAAAAAAACATTCATAGCTTGAATAAACAGAAAAACTTACGAGGGAACGAACATCCCCAACTGAAGGAAAGCTTTGGAGCTCGGACTCCGTGCAT